CGATGAATCTTTTCAAATGTGAATCCTCCCAATTGCCTTTATCATCCGATGAATCTTTTCAAATGTGAATCCTCCCAATTGCTTTTATCATCCGATGAATCTTTTTAAATGTGAATCCTCCCAATTGCTTTTATCATCCTATGAATCCTTCCAGATTCACAATATTTGATATATAAAAAATGAGGACGAAAGCTCTATCAAAACTAGCCACTATGCTGAGGTATCTAAACACTGAACACACTTAAGTAATTTGATTTGTGTGTCATGTCAAGTCAACGAAATAGAGCACAGAAATCCAAGTTTCGCCTTACACGTTGTGGAAAACTCCTCGATTTGAAAATTCACCAGAACGGTATTGTGTAAATATCTGAATACTTAACATAGTTATCGTGATGATGAGAAATTCAAAAACTTGGTATGGTCCATTAGAGGGCGTCTAAGCTTTACGTATGAGGCAAATATTCGTTTTATTACATAAAGTATAGGCAGATTTAGACGGAGTTGGCCCCGGCGCCCTCCCTCTTTGCCTAGCCTGGAGATCGACTCTTCAACTACATCTATCAAGTATAATGCTAAAACAAAATCTGCCCCCAAAAAAACAACAACAACAAAAAAAAAGCAGCACCCCATCTATAATGTGGAGTTTTAAGATTTTAAAATTCTATACATTGTGACTCTCACCCACATAAAAGGTGCTAAATTTTTCTGTCCCCCACCCAACTAACTCTTTGTCCCTTATGCCCCCAAATAAAAAAATCCTAGAAACGCCACTGAACTTCGCCCCTAGACTCGCAGCCCTTCTTGGATATTTCACGCCCCTTCTTTCCAAATTTATAGATCCGCCACTGTAAAGTGTTACTGCTGATAGATTAAACCTACTATAACTAGCTATAGTAAAACTGGTTTATTTGAGTCGACTTACACATTTTCTGTACTAGTGCATGTGCTACAACATCGACGTGGATACATACGGAACGTTAAGACGGTCCCCTTGAACAGTTTTTTATTTGTTATGTTTTAAGTACCTTGTTAGGCTATTCAATATATATATATATATATATAAGTATATACAATTGCAATTTCTAGAGGAATAACCTTTTTAAATAAATCATCTCTATACTGAATCACAAAATTTGCTTAATGAACAGTCAAACAATACAAATAATCATAAGGTACAGTTGTAACGAAACTGATTTCATATTTATATAGGTATCTATGTAGACTTTAATTATTCTCCAGATAAATTTGATTTAGTTTCTAATATTCACCGCCCGAAGATGAAAAAGTTTAATTTTTTCCTCGCACAATTTCGAAATTAATCTAAAGGATCAAATGAGAAAAAAAAAAAAATTCTCTGTTATTCCCGCGCTTCATGACTCTTTTACTGCCCTTCAAGACCACAGCATCATTGTTTCTTTTTAAATTAGGTTATTGTTACACACTTGATCCAACTGTTATTGTCGAAAACACCAATCCTTTTGAAATTAGGGTACTGTTACACACTTGATCCAACTGTTATTGCCGAAAACACCATTCCTTTTTAAATTAGGTTATTGTTACACACTTGATCCAACTGTTATTGTCGAAAACACCAATCCTTTTGAAATTAGGGTACTGTTACACACTTGATCCAACTGTTATTGCCTTTCAAAAGGAATGGTGTTTTCCTAGTGTATTATTACACACTTGATCCAATTATTATTTTCGAATACACCATTCCTTTTGAAATTAGGTTATTGTTACACACTTGAGCCGACTATTGTTTTGAAATTAGGTTATTGGTACACATTTATTTTACAACTGAAATTGTAATTATAATTATGTAGTCTCTGTGATTTGTAAATAAGGCCTTATTCTTCGTTGTTTTTCGCTTATAAGTTTCTCAGGCGTTTAAAATTCATGCACAAGAGAAACTGAAAAATAATTTTTGGATTATGCAGAAAAACACAACTTTGATCGAAAAAGGCTAAATAATTAAAAACTTGTGAAATATCGTTTGCTTAGTTGCACGGCGTCCAGACGATTTTATTTTATTTACTGTTTCAACCTGTATTCTTGTGATTTGTCGTGGTTTAGAAAAACAGAAACAATCCCAAGAAGGTGTATCACAGCTTATAATTTCAACTTATTTTTGACCATTTTTAGTTTTGTTTAGTTTCACTGATTTGGAATTTAGTTAACTTTAACAGCCAGACGAATGGAGAAAACTTGAGCATGCTCCTACCATTTAAAGATGTAATTTTTCCTTTCATTTAGTCTGTACAATTAATTACTACTACAATGACTTAATATATTCACAAAGGAATAAGTCTTCTGGCATTATAATGCTAATTAAATTCCACATCCAAATTCATATTTCAGAGCACTCCCATTTGACAAGTATACATAACTTTAATTATCACTTGTTTGACTCATTTATTTACTATTTGTAAACTTTTATTTCTTTCATAAATATATGCTAACACTACTACTGTTTCTGTATTCGACTTTCGCAGGAACATTCCACTGTTCGAGCGTAATAAAAACAATTTCTTAAGTAATAAGATAAAACATAATTGCATACAAATTCTTTTCCAAAACCTATTTAAACACACACATATATATAATAGTACATAATAGCATTTTAGGGTTAAATGACGATTTCTTATTCCAAGCTGGTATTTATGTATTTTTTTATATTTTTTTTAGCCATAGACTGTGGACCGACCCCGTCAGTTAAGAAAGGGAAACTCGTAGCTCCAAATGGAACAACTCTCGATCAAATAGCGTTTCTCCAATGCAATGAAGGTTATGAACCAGAACAAGCAAAAAAAATGATTTGTTCGTCTGATAAAGTATGGAGGATACCAGGCATTGGGGGAATAATAAGGTGTAAACGTATGTACAGTCAAAAAATTGTTTTGGTAATATTTGGTATATTCTCTCATTTTACTAAACTTGTGTTACTGTACGTGTCATTCAGTGTTGATCACTATTTGTATATTACACATTAAAACATTTGTCAACTGTATCTTTATTTGTGGGCTTTTAACTTTCAACTATATTTACAAGGTAATGATGTGCAGTTTTACATCTAAGAAAAACTTGTAAAACCAAAAGTGTATATATATTTATACATAGCCAAACATTTGCAAATGATTACAATATGTCTTCCCTATCCACCTTATTTGAATATTATCCTCGAAATACGGTAGATTTCAAGAAATAATGTTATTAAAAGCAGGGGAGGGGGTTATAAACTACAACGTACATAGTACATAGAGACGGATAATAGTACATAGAGACGGATAATAGTACATAGTACATAGATACGGATAATAGTACATAGTACATAGATACGGATAATAGTACATAGTACATAGAGACGGATAATAGTACATAGTACATAGAGACGGATAGTAGTACATAGAGACGGATAATAGTACATAGTACATAGAGACGGATAGTAGTACATAGAGACGGATAATAGTACATAGTACATAGAGACGGATAGTAGTACATAGAGACGGATAATAGTACATAGTACATAGAGACGGATAATAGTACATAGAGACGGATAATAGTACATAGTACATAGAGACTTCTTTGTGAGAAAGGTGTAGTGGGGATATTAAAATGTGACTTTATAATACATAAGACATTAAGTTTCTGTGAAAGTAAATTTATTTACAATAACACAAAATTGACAGGTAATTTTCTGGGCAAACCAAACCTATTTTTCGACACCTAATATGCAATTTCATGCATTGTGTGAATCCAAACACTACTAATGACAACCTCTTATAACGTTTACATATGCATATAATGTTTCTAGGTTCAAAACTCCCTATTATATACATTACGAATTATTTTTGTACTTTTGAATCACGCCAAAAAAAACGTAAAAAATAAGTAAATAACAGGGTTCTCACTGGTCAGGGGAAGTCAGAGAATTTTACTTTTTTTTCAAGATCGAGGAATTCGAAATTGGTCAGAGAAATTTAAGATTTTAGTAAAAAGTCAGGGAAGCCTGAAATCCCAGGATCAGTATATGCTATATTATAATAATGGACATTGCAATTAATTCCACCAGGAACTACTTGTGTCTTCTATGTATTTACTTATAAAATGAATGATTTTACTTAGATTTTTTGGTCAGTTCCTTAAACTTATTATTGTAACAGAGATAGATATAAACCTTATGAATTTTATGCTCTGTTTGGAGCACACAATTATTGAACTATATATAAACAGTCAGTAACATGAAGGTTAAATATCTACACCTATTTATTTCTTTTCTAACTTAAAAGAGAATGTTTACAAAATGTTTGTGATACGCTTTATCCATACCCCACCGTTAAGTAGGTAGGTTACCTCATATCCATACGTTTCTGGATTCTTTCCATTAGCCGTTACTTGCAACGATCCTGTTATTCCACATGGACTCTACAGCCTTCTGGATGAATCACAAACCTATGGTAGCAGGATGCAGATCATATGTGAATCAGAATATATCCCAGGACCAAAGATTGTAAAATGCAGAAGTGACAAGACATGGGGTGACTTAAAGAACGTCTGCAAAGGTAATTAAAATCACATCTGATTTTGTAATATATTAGAATTGAAATAATTTGCTGGAAGGAAAAACAGGACGATCAAACTGGTGTAACGTTTGATAATGAGTATTGGATATGAAACCTTTGTAATAAGTGTAAATTTCAACAAAGTACTTGACTTGTGCATTATCGAACCTTTAAGGTAGGTTTACATTACGTCAACATGGAGACCCAACACTTTAAATTATACAATGTTTTTGTTTTTCGATGTCACGTTTTTGTGTTGGGCTAACATGATCAGTGGCGTGAGGAGGTTCTATGATGCCCGGGGCCTTGTACCTAAGACCTTGGGGAAGGGCGGAAAGGGTTCTACTATTCTATTCGACTCTTTGCGTCGGATGCCCTCCGGATATGGATGCCCGGGGCCCCGGCACCTTTCGCCCCCCCCCCCTTTGCACGCTACTGAACATGATGTAAAGGTTTTGCCAACAAATACATTGTTAGTTGTATTTTCTATCTGGTACCAAAAACAGATACATGTTTGGCACATTAAAGTATGCACATCAGTAATGATATATTGTAGGACC